CACTCGGCTGAACCTTAGCCTTTGAAAAGGAAAAAAACACACAGAATGCAAGCAAATTGTATGTGCTGGAGGGAAGTGATCAAGCATTGTTTCCTAAACATCAAGGATTTCTACTAGATTGTAAAGGTTTGTAATCTCTGAGGTGTTAACTGCAGAGGATGACTTAATTTCACCTCCCCATCCACAAGCCCTGCCTTGGTGTCTTGGTGCAAGTGTTGCATTATTGGACATAAAGCAAACTTTCTATATCCAGCAGTGTCTTAGTGTTTCCCTTCCACTCTCACAGCTATGAAGCTGACTGAATGCAAGGCAGAAATAATTACGATTACAGGCATCTTGATTATAAACACTTCAGCCCCACCTGGATCATGCTAAGCAGCTGTAAAATCAACTCTTACTCACCTTTTACCACTTATGAACCAAACATTGGACAATAAGTTTATTTCTCACCAAATTTTCTGGAGTGAATGTAGAGAAGAGCATCATGAAAACTTAACAATAAAATCCAGAAAGATCCTCCATGAACTACACACCATACTGAGTGTGCAATACTAGACTCAGCAGTAGAAGGCAGCTTTCTCTTAAATGACAAAAACTATGCATTATTTCCAGTTGTTGTTTTAGGAATTAAGTTACAGAATGTAGAGAAAAGTACATATCAGATGTGGACAATATGAACAATAATTACTCACTACCAAGACTGGGTTTTTTGTTTATTTGTTTTAAAAAACAAATCCAAACAGTTATAACCAAGACCCAAGCAGCAGGTGGTATTTTCTTGAATTAGAGTGAGTCTGCATGTCGTAACTACATGAAAACACGTGAACAATTATGCATATCTTTTGTAACATAGAAATGGTTTATTCTTGATCTTCTAGTTTATTTGTCTGATTCCCCCAGGGATTAAAATGCCACTCCCTTTTTAAAGTGAATCTAGGACAGCATCAAGTGAATATATGAAGATAAACATAATAATTTTTTACTTTGTAACTAAACAAGAACTACTTGCTTGCTTGAAAGCCAAGGTATGGTATATTAGCTTTCACACACATCTGGATGAAATGGAGACTTTTCTTACAAATTCTGTTTTTTTGGTTTTTTTGGTTTTTTTTTTTTAAGAAAAAAACAAAAATTATTTAAAAAGTTAATTTAGAGTATGCATTCAGACTTTTAAAAAATCATATTCTAGTTATGTTCTGGCAATTTTTCTTCTTGAATTGAAAAGCAGGAATTAATACAATATAGGTTTATAGAAATGTTCTGAAAAGTCAAATAGTAGAGGTAAAAAAAAATACAGAACAGTTAAAACTGTAACCATTGAAATTCAAATGTTTAAATCTGATGCCCAAATTTAAGTGTCTTTCAATTTTTTTGTTTTAGAATTTCGTTAAGGTATAGAACACTCCACAAAATCTTTTTGTGAATGAAATTTTTATTTACACACTGTATCCAGAAGCAGATACATAAATCCTTATACAATTATTTTTCAAAAATGTGCAAGAAATTACTATATTTTTTTTTACAAACCAAAACACATTAAAATCAAATGGACTTTGGATAATTCACTCTGTGGCGTGCTTAGTACAAATAGCACACACCAGGTCTGAAACGGAGAAAAGTGTAAACTACAGCAATCTGGATTGCAAGTATTAACTTCATGGCACTCCATCATCACTATAAAAATTCTTTAACCCAACATGTATTCATACAAAATTCTTTAATAATTTTTATTTATCTGTGTAGAATTTAGAACATTTCCAGATACAACAATGCCATATTTCCCATATTATGAACTACCATTTAGCCCATTTTTTATTTATAAAGAATGCTTGCAATTTTAATTTTTTGCAGTCATAAAAAGATTTTATGAAATTAAATTGGCAATCATTAATTTTTCCATAGCTTAGCACAGAATTTTCAAGTTCAGTAACAGAGAAATACTTCTCATCAGAATCAGAGCCAATATATTGCTGGTATGCTGTTTTAAATTTATAATTCCAGTATTCACACAGATGAAATGCATCAAAACAAAAACTGCACAGATTTCACTTAGTCCAGCAGTCAATATTCACAGAAAGAAATTGGCTTTAACAAAATGCAAAGTCAGCTCATCTGAGAACAAAGCATGTAATTAATAATTGCATTTCTAATCCTTCTGACAGAAAGACATTTTGATAAAAAGATGGCATTCACTATGTCAACAGCAGGATAAGTGCTATATCCTTCAAACAGATCAAAGAATACAAATTACTTTCAGTTGTTCATAACACTGGCTTACAAAAAAGAAATTGTGCAAATTTATTTTTCTGTTTCCAAATACGAGGTGTTGCTTTACTCTTCTAATTGGTAAAACACACAATGTTATCAATAACATCAATAATTTCAGATGCTCAAAAAAGGAGTTTTATTTCAAAGTTTAATTTTCAAAAAAATTTTCCACAATTCAGTTGCATAAAAAGCATACCTTTTGAACCCTTAAATTGTTGTGCTGAATAAATAGCCATATTTCTACTCTATAAGGATCACAGTCAGTTACCTTTTTTTCTTGGTGTATCTGCTTCCAAAGGTTCACAAAATATCCTCAATCATTATCCTTTTATTTGTCAAGGACACTTTGTTCCTCTAATTTTCATGAAGCAGAAGTCAACACAATTTTTGTGGTTACTCCGAGTATTTCTAAATTGTCTCACAACTAAATATTACTGTGTTTCTTTTATATTAATCTTTATTATAATAAATTGTAGTATCTTTAAAGTTTTCAAAATAATTTTTCTGGGTTCCTTCTGCTGACTGGCCAGTTACCTCTGCATGAAAAATACTGCAAGGTTCTGATTAATGAAACCTCTAAAAATAGGCATTTGTGTCTACTTACTACTGATTTAAAGTATTTTGAGCTTAACAGAAATATCACCACCATTTTTTATTTAGAAACAAAGTGCTATATGGTTCTCACATCCTAGTCTCAACCACTTTACAGTGTTCCTTTTGTGGAAGCTTTATGGGGGGGGGTTTTAGGGGGGGGGGGAGGGGGGAAATGACAAAGTTAACTTGACCTGATTAAGAACAAAGCAAGGAAGGCGATTCAAAAACTGGATAGCTGAACCAAAGTTTAAAAAAAAGCATTAACGCATATGAGTGAATGAACTGAAATTTATAAAGGCAGGGGTAAGAAATTTAGCATATGTGTTCTTGCATGTTTTTCAATTCAGCAATAAGACCAGGATATTATAGCTTCAACTGTTTCAATGCAATGACTGCTAAATTAATGCATGTGGCGTAGCATAAACATATGTTTAATGCATTCAACAGTGGTATTAAATGGCAAAGAAAATATTTAATATACTATAATCTTTCAAAGATTCTGTAGAATGCTTAGGCCCTCTAGCTTGTATGGGGAAAGAATTTTTAAAGTGAAGAAAACGCCAGAGGTTTTCTCCCAAAAGTATGCATCTGAAATCCATAAAAATTATTTTCTTTTTTCTCCCCACAGACAGAATCAGAACACTGTACCATACAATACATTATTGTGCCTTTTTGAATAAAGTTAGTGATCCTGATTCGAGGCGGGGCGGGGGGAAGTCAGTAGAGGAAAAAAAGAAAACAGAATTCACACTTTCATACATATATCTCAATGGCAAAGCCAACAAATTACACATATAGACTGCTCTAGATTTTTTTAAGTTTAAAACTTTATCAGACTAAAGAAGAAATCCTCATTCTCCCTCCGTTAAAAGCAAAGGCAGCCTTTATCCACCTTTGATTTTATTTTTTTTATTTTTTAGTTAAACATTATGGTCAAAAAATAAATTAAAAAAATATAAATTTCGTCTATCAATTCAGGCAACCCAAGATGTAGTGCTATTGCACCACCTTGCAGCAATACTGTACTCATTACTAAAGACTAATTTCAGGGGACAAAAAGGCTACATTAAACAAGGAGAAGAAAATGACCTAAAGAAGAAAGCCGTATCAAAGTTGAACAGCCTTTTCCAAGATGATGTTTACTGACAAGAAACTCCTACCAGAGATGGGGACGATGAAATTCTAAAATACAAAGGGGGGGAGGGAGGGGCAGGAAGCCACCCTCCCAAGCTAGCCATAACCCCTTTAACAAATAACTCCTAAAAGTGATAGAATCATGGTGGGGATGGGGGGGACGACGACCTGAAACAAAACAGGAAAACGCCATGGATTAACCTTGCATGACAAAAATATTACAGTGTAGAAGTTCTACTCCCCACTGAAAGTCTTTTTTTCCCTTTTTTTTCTACAGAAGGTTAGAATAACTGTAAGCTTTTCAAATGCCAGAATCTTTGACAGTTATCATAAATATTTACTTAATTGATTCAGTATTTCATATGTCAAAACTTCTTTCAGGACAGTAAACTGAAACAGTTTCTGTGGTCAGTGTATATCCAAACCTCTTTTCCTCATAATTTGAAAGGCTATGAGAATAGAGCTTTAGAGATGCATTTTAAGCATCTTCCATCCAAAATGTTATCAGTCCTGCTCCTTCCTCCCCAAAGGATATTCAAAAAAAGGGGAAGATGATCCAAAGAACATTAGTGTATTACTGCATTTCTGAAGTGAAAAAAAATGCAGAAAATGGAAAATGATAAAATTTCAAGTAGCTTGAATAGATATATTGTAGAAATCATCCTATTAGAAGTTTTACCCCATCACTAAAATGGCTTATCAACTTATGTTCCCACAATAACAATTCCTAGAGTCTTCCTACAAATCCAGAAAAGTCTTCCCCCCATCCCCCAAAAAAGAACAGAAAGAGGGGACCTGGTAGGTCTTCATTTATTTCACTGATGGCATTATTTTAAAAGGTAATATTTGACAAGACCCCAACACCACCATTTCCTTATAGATACTACACATTGACTTTCATAGACTTTTTTTTTTAAAGGCCATTTTTAGAAGGACAGCATACTGAGACAAGAAGAAGGCTGAACCA